GTGGCCCCCCCGGCCCCCCCCCAGCCAGTGAGGGGGAGCCGGTCTGTATGTGGGATCCGAACCCTCGATGGGAGCGCCGCCGCGCTTCCCAAGCGGCGCACTATCCAGTGCGCCACCGGGCCGGCCCTCCCTCTGCCACTCTCTTAAAAGGATAGTTGTGGGCCGGCCCGGTGGCGCACTCAGTAGAGTGCGGTGGTTGGGAGTGTGGTGGCGCTCCCGCCAAGGGTTCGGATCCCATATAGAGACCGGTCCGCTCACTGGTTGAGCGCGGTGCGGGAGCGACACCGAGGGTTGCGATCCCATTGCCGGTTGTAGTACGGGAGCGACACCGAGGGTTGCGATCCCGTTACCGGTCACAAAAAAAGACAAAAAGGAAAAAAAAAAAAGGATACTTGTGATGGCATTTAGTATCTACCCAGATAATCCAGAATTATCTCCTCATTTCAAGGTCTTTAACTTAATCACATCTGCAAAGGCCCTTTTTCCAAGTAAGGTAATATTTACAGACAGGTTCCAGGGATATGGTGTGGATATCTTTTGGGGGGTCATTTCTCAGCCTGCCACACCTCCCTTTAAGCTATTCTTCACAGACCAACCAGAGTTTGAAATGATAACTCCTTGTTGCTCTCAGAATAAACTCCAAACTTCAACAAAGCCCTTCATGATTAGGCCCCTGTTTGCTTCTCCAGCTTCATTGCTTGCTGCACTGTGACCACACTCTGTCTTCCAACCATTCTAAATGAACTCTTTTTATTTTTTTGCAGTTTTTGTTTGATTCCTTGTTCTCTCTTTCTTGCTGCTTGGCCTTTCTTTGTACATTCTATCCTTTTTGGCAGAAACATTCACATTTCCTTTGCTTATCTAACAGTTATTTCAGATTTTTAGCTCAGACATCCAGCTCTTCCATGAAGACTTACTTGGGTCACAAAGTCCAAATCAGGTATATTGCTTCTATGTCTTCACTTTCCCTATCACAGTACCTCTTATTAATTGTGTTGTAATTTCCCAGTTTCTAGTCCTAATTTCATAGTTCCTGGTGAACTATAAGACTGTGAGGGCAGGGGCTCTGTTTGTGACATTACATTCCCATGATTCCAGCACAGTCCCTGGCACAGAGTAAATATTTGTTGAACAAATAAATGATAAAGGGAAAAAAGATGAATTGGGGCTGGTCTGAAGGTAGTGAGTTATCTCAACTGATTGTTCACATTCAGTTACAGATCGAACTCCTTGTTCTACTCTTCCCCCTTTCTCACTAGTGCACTTGACTAGCCTTAAAAAAAAGGTGGATTGGGGTTAGAGCTGCTAAAATTTGGAGATTTGGAGTTGGTTTACGTTTTTGAATAGATACAGAAGTTGGAAAGAACTTTATCTTTTTCTTGTTCAGGCTTATGGGATGAAGACACAAAGGTCTGCTGATCTCTCACCGGCGTTCTTATCTACTACCCTTTCTGCTTTGGATGAAGCCCTACATGGTGGTGTGGCTTGTGGATCCCTCACAGAGGTAAAGGAGAAACTTTCCATACTTTCTTCCATTGACCTTCAGAGGCAGGGGGAAAAGTTTAGTTAAAAAACAAATAATTTCATGAACATTTATCTGAATTGAATTATAAGTACTTCAAGGGTATGGTTCTCCACTTAGTGGCTTTGCAAACAAAGGTGCTAAAAAAAAAATCCTTGCTGAATGACTAAAATCTGTTTAGGTTGCTATTTCTTTTTTCTTTTTTTGTCTTTTTCGTGACCGGTAAGGGAATCGCAACCCTTGGCTTGGTGTCACCCGCACGGCGCTCAGCCAGCGAGCGCACCGGCCATTCCTATATAGGATCCGAACCTGCGGCAGGAGCGTCGCTGCGCTCCCAGCGCTGCACTCTCCCGAGTGCGCCACGGAGCCGGCCCTAGGTTGCTATTTCTTTGAACCAACTTAGAAAGTGATGAGTATTATGAAAGAATATTATGAAACATTTTGAGGGAATTGAAAAACGATCACTACTTAGCATATTAGGAAGGAAAATTTGAAATTTTACCAACATATGAGAAAAATGTACCTACAGTGAAGTATTTTTACTTCCTATTGTAGACAAAATTTGGTTCTGGGAAGTGATAGATTGTTGTATTAGTTAATATTGTTGCATAACAAATTATCTGAAGACCAAGTGGCTTAAAACAACAATAAACATTTATTACTTTTCAGTTTCTTTGGGAGTGTCTTAGCTCGGCGGTTTTGGCCAGGGATGCAGTCATCTGAGGCTCGGTCAGGGCTGGAGGATCTGTTTCCAAGGGGGCTCACTCCCAGGATGGGCAAGTTGGTGCTGGTTGTTGGCAGGAGGCCACAGGTCCTCCCCAAGTGGGCCCTCCACAGGCCACTTGAGTCTCCTCATCACATGGCAGCCAACTTCCCCCAGGGTGGGGGGTTAAAAGAAGGCCGGATGGAAATGGTGATGCCTTTGGTGATCTGGCTTTGAAAGTTGCACACCACTACCTCTGCCACATTCTCTTCATTAGAAAGAAGCAGGTCATTAAGTCCAGTCCATAATTAGGGAAAGGGAAATTAGGCAAAGCACTTTGAAAGAAGAAATGTCAAGAATTTGAGGATGTGTTAAAACTACCACAGTTTTTTTCCTTGAAAACTGCATTGGTGTGCTCATGGATGTGGCGACTTGATAGACTATGTTTACCAATGAGGACTCCTTGCCAGAAGGCTCTAGGGGTATGGATACTTTCAGCAAACTTCTAAACAAGAGCAGACTCTTACATTTTGATAGTTGTAATTTAACTGTAGATTTTTTCCATTGAAGATATGGACCCTGTTTTAGGTACTATTCTTATTTCTTTTATTTCAAGAGAGATTTAAAGATATCTGTGAGCTATGCCTAGTAGATGCCTATTAAATAGTTGGTAAAGGAATGAATGAATAAATTATTAAAAAAAACCCACCCCAAACAAGAATCATAAACAAAATCTGCTATTGCAGGGTACTGCCACCAGATGGTGCCAGAATCATACTATCTTACATAATCTTTTTGGGATCAAGTTGGACCTGCTCAAATAAGGTTTATAACAATAGTGATCCACAGTTATAGACTTACTCATTTAAATAGCAAAGAATTGAACTTCAGGAAGGTTAATCAACAAATGCTTATTATTTTTTAAGTTTTAGAATAATTTTCAATACCTTTTCACCTAGCTTTTATCAATTCTTTCTGGATCCAAGAAGAAGTTAGAAGCCGTTTAGGTGTTTTGTCATGATCACTTAGTTGACTTGGAATATGAATACCCTGAGTGCCATTTCAGGTGGCAAGTTCCTTACTTTCTCTTCCAGCTATAGGTAGGCTCTTCGGTCTTTTAGGGGTTTCAGCTCAGTACATGGAGTTTACCATCTATTAACAAACAAATTTTTATATGTATTTTATGTATACAAAATAAAATATATCCTGCCTGTATAAATTATGAACTCTTGTGAGCCTGTGACCCAATATAAAGACCAGAACAATACCAGCCATTGAAACTAACTGTGGGCTCTTCCCTGATCCTATCTTTGGCCTTCTTTTGGGAGGTAAACTCTGTCCTGGATTTTTACTATTCCCTATAGTTTCCTATATCTGTAGTTTTCTTTTACCTGCCATATACTTACATAGGAGTTATAATAGCACTTTATCTCATTTTGCTTATTTTTGAGCTTTACTAAATCATGTATCTGTGATGAAATCATACTTAATATGGTTTCTAAAATTTGTCCGTGTTGTTGTGGGTAGAAGAGTATAATTCACTTTCACTGCTGTCGTATATTCCAGTTTGGAAATATTCCACAATTTATTTCTCCCTTCTCCTGTGAGTGAATGTTTGAATTGTTTTCAGTTTGTTGCTAATATGAATAAGTCCTGTGAAAATTCCTGTACCTGTCTTCTGGATCACATATACAAGTATTTCTCTAGGGTAGGGATTGGCAAACTACTGTCCAGTGGTCAAATCTGGCTCACTGCCTGTTTTTGTAAACCAAATTGTATTGTAACACAGCTATGCTCATTTGTTTACATTTCGTCTGTGGCTATTTTGTGCTATAAGGGCAGAGTTGAGTTAGTTGTGACAGAGACAATGTGGTCTGCAAAGCTTAAAATATTTACTGTGTGGCTCCTGTCTAGAGTATTTATCTTGCAGTGATTTGGTGGTTATACAGTATGCACATGTGTAACTTTGCAGAGTCAGGACAAATTATTTTCCAGAATGGTTGTGCCTTTTTACACTCCTACCAGTGGTGCACACAAGTTCCTCTTGCTCTGTGTCTTCTTGCCTTGGTATTATCAGACTTCTGCCCATCCTTGTGATCTTAGTTTTTATTTTTCTAACTACTAATGACCTTGAGCATCTTTTCATAATTCATTTGTGTATTTTTTAAAAATAACTTTATTAGGGTATAATTTTATTTATTTATTTATTATTTATTTTTTGGCAGCAGACGGGTATAGGTATCCAAGCCATTGACCTTGGTATTACAAGGTGGTGTTCTAACCAACTGAGCTAACGAGCCAACCCCAGTTATAATTTAAATACTGATGGAGTTTTTATGTGTTCTCCCTACCAAAACTCATGTGGAAATCTGATCCCCAATGTGGTAGTGTTGGGAGCTGTTTGAGTCATGGGGGTGGATCCCTAATGAATGGATTAATGCTCTCCCTGGGGGAGGGGAGCCTGAGAGAGATCTAGCTCTATTAGTTCCATTGAGAGCTGGTTATTTAAAAGACCCTGGCACCTCCTCTCTCTCTCTCTCTCTCTCGCTTTTTCTTGCCATGTGATCTGTTCTACCTGCCACTGGCTGCCGTTTTCCACCATGAGTAGAAGCAACCTGAGGCCTGCACCAGATGCAGCTATCCCAGAATTGTAAGCCAGATAAACCTCTATTCTTTATAAATTACCCAGTCTCAGGTATTCTGATATAGAAACACAAAAATGGAATAATACAGAAAATTGGTACTGAGGAGTGGGGTGTTGCTATACAGTTACCTGAAAGTGTGGCAGCAGCTTTGGAACTGGGCAATAGGCAAACGTTGGAGGAGTTTGGAGAACTTAGAAGAAGACAAGAAGATGAGAGAAAGTTTGGAACATTCTAGAGATTGGTTAAATGGTGGTGACCAGAATGCTGATAGACATATGGACTGTAAAGACCATTCTAAAGAGGTCTCAGATAGAAATAAGGAGTTTTTTGGAAATTTGGGCAAAGATCAACCTTGCTGTGAACTGGAAAGGAACTTGGCTGCATTGTGTCCATGCCTTAGGACTTTGTGGAAGTTGGAACTTAAGAGTTGTGAACCAGAGTATCTGGCAGAAGAAATTTCTAAGCAGCAAAGCGTTAAGGAAGCTGCATGGCTACTTGTAACAGCCTATGCTGAGTTATGGTTGCAAGGATATGACGTAAAGCCAGAATTTAAAAGGGAAGCAGAGAGTAAAGATTTGGAAAATTTGCAGCCTGGTCAAGTGGTAGAGAAGCAGAGAGCATGCAATGGTGTAGTCCAGTGACCACTAGCTAAGATTAGTAAAAAGGAAAGGGATTATCAAGAGAAGGAGAAAAAGGCCCTTGAAGGCATTGCAGAAACCTCTGGGGCCAACTCTTCCATTTCAGGCCCAAAGACCTAGGGGGACAGAATGGTCTTGAGGAACAGGCTTGAGGAGCCCTCCATGGGCTCGCTGCCCAAGACCACCTCAGGAAGCTGCTTCCAGCACCAAGGCATCCCAGCTGCTTTGGGTATGCCAGCTGTGGGTAAATTGGCCCCAGGTGTGGCTGGACGTGCAGCTTTGGAAAATACAAGCTGGAAGCCTTGGCGGCATCCACGTGGTGTTAGGTTTGCAGGCTTGCAGAATGCCAGAGCTATGGAGGCTTGGGAGCCTTTACCCCAATTACAGAGGATGTATGGAAAAGTCTGGGGGCCCAGGAAGAGACCTGTCGTAGGGGCAGACTCACCACAGATAACCTTTGCTAGAGCAATGCTGAGTGGAAACATGGGGTCAGAGTTGCAGCAGAGAAACCCCATCAGTACCATGCCTAGTGGAGCCGGGAGAGTGAGACTGCTATGGAGACCCCAGACCTGTGGAACTACTAGTGTGCCACACCAGCCTGGGAGAGCTAAAGCATCACCTGAGACCAGGAAAGCCATAAAAGTGGAGCTGCCTGAGGACTTGGGGGCTCAACCCCTGCACCAGCATGCAGAGGAAGTCAAACATGAAGTCAAGATACCTGATTCACCTGCTTTGGTATTTAATGCCAGCCCTGTTGGGTTTTGGACTTGTTTGGGACATATTACACCTTTCTTTTGGCCTATTTTTCCCTTTTGGAATGGGAATATGTACCCTATTTTTGTCCCACCATTGTATCTTGGAAGTAGATAACTTATATTGATTTCACAGATGGGACTTTGGACTTTGAGTTGAAACAAGTTAAGACTTTGGGGGTGGAATAAATGTATTTGTATGTGAAAAGGACATGAGCTTTGGGGGTCCAGGGAGTAATGTAAT